CAAGGCATACTTTCATTTAAACGCATTTTCTAGGAAAATATCAAGTATATAAGTATATACTGAAAACCAAAAGCACACTCACTGGTATGTTGAAGGGTCGTAGCCCCCGAGTCGCCCTTGACTGCGCTCGTCCTTGGGATAAGTCTCCCCTATATGCGAAACAACTATAAAAACGTTAATTTAAAGTACATAATCAATACTAGCTAATAACTTCTCATATATTGCTCAAATGGGATGTTTGAATATACCAATGTGATCTACACAACCTCATGAACATCCTCATATTTTTAGAAAAATTTTCCGACCACCCACGCGCCGGTTAAGGCACGGCCAGACACGCCGCCCACGCGCTAACACGTGCCAGGCACACTAACGGTAACCCTAACGGCGTTAGGGAATATTTCGTTAAAAAGTAGCTTGTACCGTTAAAAATAACTTGACGCTGTTGGAATATTCCGTCAAACTTGACGGAATATTCCGTCGTCTCCTTCCTTGGTTTGCTGGACCTTCGCCGTCGTCGGAAAAACTGGAAAAACTTTAAACCTTTATATCTCTGATATGAGCCTATTTATGCGACTTAGTTAGCTTGTTGTCTTGCATTTTCATAGTTAGTTTCTGTTTATTATAGTGATTTAAGCTATTTTCGTGTGTTTGTAGGTCCAAATGACAAAGTTGGCAAGAAAGTGCATTTTGGAACATTTTAGAGCAGTTTTGGGCTAGAATTGATAGTTTACATATGGAGCACAAAGAATGGACGAATTTGAAGTTTAAGAGAGGCTAGGAATGTGCTAAAGAGTTGAAGAAAATAAATTCAAGACAAAGAAGATAAGGAATCAGCTCAAAAGAAGGAACATTATCCAAAACCTTATCCAACCTTATCTTATCCAAACTAGCCTTATCTTATCTTATCCTAATCCTATCCTACCTTAATTCTAGCTACAAGGGGGACTCCTTATCACATTAGAATACCTAAGATCTGATTGTAGAAGCCCTGAAACAATGCAAAGAACCTGATCCCATTTCCCCCCTAGAAATCTGACGAATTTAATCCCTTCTCTTCTAGAAATCTGCCAAATATCCCTTTCTAGAAGCTTTGTGCTAAATTTCCTAGTCCTATTCCTCTAGGATTGTGTAATCATTCTCCTCCACAACCTTTGTGCCGAAACCCTAGCCTATAAATACATAATTCTGACCCTATTTTCGCACAACACACAAAAGAGCCTAAAAAATTAGAAAATACATACTTGTGCGCAGATTTGCAAGGAAGGAATGAGAGGAGACCCTTGGAGTCGTACCTGCCATTCAAGCTTGGATTGCTGGAGCGTTTCTAGGTGTATTCTATCCTTAGTTTTAGTCCAATGTTTGTTTTAATTTGGTTTTATGTTTTCAAAGACATAAGGAACTAATTTCTTTATAGCTGGAGGTGAATTCAAAGCCATGATTATATGTTTTATATGAATTGATTACATCCAGGTATTGTTTCTTGAGTCTTGAATGTGATTTGCTTATCTGAGTTATCAAAACTTGTTTAGGTATGTTGATTGAGGGTCGACACTTCATTTGCATGCATGAATTTGATACTAGAGTATAAGGGAGTTTCACCTAATCGTTATGAACTTATATTCACAAGTAGTGGAACTCACTAGTCATGATTGTGTTAAGTAAATCCTTGGTAGGAGTATCATGCTTTTCATAGTTACGAATGCCTCGTCAATGCTTATGGTTTTCAAAGAACTTAATGACCTTTGTTATGTCTTTCTATCATGCTTTTCATAGTTAGGGAACTTGATAAGGATAATTTGGTTGCGATGCGTATTCCATCTAATTCAACGAATTAAGGAAAATTTGAAGGTTAATTTGTGTTATCACGGTTAACTTGGGGTGTTGTCATTCATAGTCTAAAGGAATAATAACTGGAAATTGGTTTGTATGCATATGTCATGTGTGGAGAAGGACCCTCTAACTAGCCTTTCACCATTTTCAATTCACCAAATTCGTTTTTATAAAGTTTGTTTATGCAAGGTTTCTTGTTTTAAGTTTTAAATTTGTCAAAAACAACCCCTCATTCATTAAGTCTTGTTAGTTGAGTCATAATCTGTTTTCTTTTAATCTTTTAAGTCAAGTTAAGTTTATTTTCATCAAAATCACTTGTTAGGTCTAGAATTGAGTCTTTTTGATTGTTTGTTGCTGTTTTGAGTCAGTTTAGTCTATTTTTGAGTTGTTTGAGTCTAGTTTAGTGTTTTAGAGTTTAATTTGTGTATATTAGTAGCCCTTCTAATCCCCGGCCTAAAACGATCCCTACTTTCATATACTACAATCATAGGGTTTTTATTTGTGTGCTAGTTTATATCACATCAAATTTTGGCGCCATTGCCGGGGATTAGCAAAATTGCTAATCACCCTGTTTTGTTTATTTTACTTTTGATATTTGATTTAGTTTTCTTTCTTTCATTTTAGGTACTAAAGAAGTAAGACATGGCAATTGCTAATCTTCAAGCTCAAATAACAAATCTTACTTCTCAGTTAACGCAATATATCGAAAGGACCACAAGGCAAATTGTCCCTACATTTGGTGCGTCTTATAGGCAAGAATATCAAGCAAATCAACGTCCACAAAGAGGTTGGGAGAATGTTAATACTTGGGGTTATCAAGATCATAATCAATCAGGGAACAATTTGTTTTCCAACATGTACAATTCAGATTGGAGTGATTTTTCAAACTCTATGTGGTGGGAATCTCAACAAGTTCAACACAAAGGATATTGGTAGCCATATGAGGAGTTCTATTCAAGACCTGCGCAGCCACCATAACCTCATATACAATATGCCCAACCAAACTCAGGTTCGTCAATAGATTGTGATCAAATTCTTGATGAATTAATTTCTTTCGCACATGGCTCACAAAATCAAGCCAATGAGGCTCAACAAGGAGAATATTGGCAGCCATATGAGGAGATCTATACAACGCCTATGCAACCACCACAACCTACCTAGCAACAATTCCAACTGAATTCAGGTTCGTCAATAAATTGTGCTCAAATTCTTGATGTAATAACTTCTTTAATGCAGGAATTACAAAATCAAGCCCAAGTGATGAGCAAATTGAAGAATCAAATGGGAGAGATTGCGGAATTCATGGGGCAAATGCAAGAACAAAGTGAATTATTTGACTCAACTGTTGAAATTGCTGAAGTTATCACCTTGGAAAGTGGCATGGAGGTTGGAGATGAACCCAAGACATCCAAACCAAGCCACAACATGGATGAACAATTCCTGTTCGAAGAAGAGGAGGATAACAAGGCCACGGTAAGGGAAGAACCACCCTTGCCGCAGCCTATCCTAGCCCCAACACCCTTGCCGCAGCCTCATATGCCCTTTATGCCGTCCACTACAACCAAGGTAAGCCTAAATTCAATTTGTCCTGACCCCGTTCCACCAAATGTCTTTATTTCTTGCAGGATCATGCAATCCAAGGAAAAAGAGGGTGAGAAGGACATCTTCGAAACCTTTCCAAAGAATCAAGAGCAAGAAGTGGATGGGGAATGTCTAGAATTCATCAAAGAGGATATACTTGAGACGATAATTCCCAAAGAAGTTGGATTTTATGACATGGGACAAGTCATAACTCTCAAAACACCAAATTTGGCTGAATTTTCTAGTCCTACTACTTTCGAAGGGGTGTTTATTCTTGAGCTCATGTCGGAGCACACAGGTAAGCCACCGCCTCGAATTTCAATTTTGTTTTATACTAATATGTTGTTAATGATTTAGGAACCCACTCTAGAATTTAAACCATTCCCGGATTTTGGGTCACCAACCAAAAACAAGGAAAAATCTAAGTTCTTATTAGGTCCAAACAATTAGGATTTAAAATGATTGGCCCGTTTCACACACTAACGACCCAACGCTCAAGGGCAAAATCGACATTTCACGCCATTGATAAAAGTAATTCGGGACTGGTTGTGACAGGTTTGGTACTGAGGAATTTAAAAAAAAAGTGGGTATAAAAAAAAGTAGAGCTAAAAAAAGTGTTTGGTAAACACTTAAAAACAACTTATTTTCACAGTTTTAGGGTGAAAAAAAGCTGAAAACGTGAAGCAGCAAAAATGAACAACACAGCAGAAGCAGTTTTTTTTTCAAAGCACAGCAATACCAAACCAGCCCTTATTATCATCTCGGCTCTATCTGCAGCTGCTGATGTCACTCCTACTGATAAATATGATCATTTCAAATAAATATTTTTATTTCTAGACCTTGACTTATTTAATGTGTCTATCGCAATGCGTAGTTTGGATCTCTCTTCTCATAGTTCAATTGAATTTTAATTTTTTTAAGGCTTTTAAGTTAAAATGGTTTGTGAGATTGTCATAACTTTTTAGTTTGGTCATTGAAATTTAAAATCGATAGAAATGGTTCTGAAATTGTCCACCATCAATCATTTTGTAAAAAATTCCCATTATGAAGAACCCATAAGTCCAATTGGAGCGGTGACTTGACAAATAACCTCATTTAACGTAGACTCTTTACAGAATTACTAGAGTGGTTAACGGTGGACAATATCAAAAATCATTTCTATCAATTTTAAATCTAAGAGGCAAAAGTCATAGACTATTTTAGTTAAAAAGTCTTTTTTTAATGCTAAAAGTTTGATTGATTTAAGTGTAATGGTAAACTAAATTATTACTTGAATGTATATTTTGAATTAAGAATTTGAGTGATACATTGTCGTATTTTTATTAATATATGGTGGGTTATACCTTGCTGGCACTCGTATAATTACTAAGAAGAACATGTATGAAGGGAACCAAATGAGCTGTTATGGACATTTTTAACCCACAACAACAAAAAATAACTGAAGAATCCATAGCTTATGTGGACAATTAAAGTTTGATAATTTTTAATTGATAAAAAGAATGGATTATTGAGATTGACAGGCAAAACCCACCACAATAAGTTAATTAATTCCAAAAATGAAACATAGATATATAATCCCACCTTCATAAAACTCAAGAGAGAATTTCACCTTTCTCTTGTCACATATTTCTCAGCTCTAACTGCGCTAAGCAGATGCCTGCGCTTCCTGTGCCTGTGCCTGACAACTCATCAACCATGTTAGCATCATCAGGGGGGAGCTCCGGCGGGGAAGCGGCCACCATGGCAGAAGTGGTTCGTGAAGGTAGGCAAGAATCCGAAACGACAGACGTCTTGTCAAATTCAGTTCAAGAGGGAAACAAGGGTCACCGCTTATATGGGGGAAACCGATGGCCTCGACAAGAAACGGTGGCGCTTCTGAAGATACGGTCTCAAATGGATGCAGCTTTTCGTGACTCAAGTCTCAAAGCTCCATTGTGGGAAGATGTTTCAAGGTGAATTTATCTTCTTGATCGAAAAAGTACAAGCTAGCTAGTTTGTGTACATGTTTAACTTTAATTATTTTTTTTAACCAAAGTTTAACTTTAATTATTCACCTGAGATCGATCGTCACTCTTCTTCTTTTATTTTAATGTGTTTTGTTCTTTTCTTTTATAATTTGTTTTTGGGTTGCAAGTGTGGCCACAGGGTTAGAGCTTTGGCCTTAGAGTCGGAGTAAATGTTCTTAATACTAAAGCTACAAACTTCTACAAATATTTCGATTTTTTTTTATCCATAAGAAGTTCATACGTACTTTTGCAGGCAATCTAGGTATAGGTAGTTTGCTTATTTGTTTCGGATTAAAGGATGGTTTTGTTAATTTTTAGGATTTCAATTTCGTCTTTTACAAGGGTAATCTGTTTTCTTAATTTTCCTGTATTTTTTTTTTGTTAATTAATATTAAAAAAATAAAAATAAAAGCAAATGATGACCCAAATTATGTACATGGGTTGCCATAATTTTAATCAGGAGGCTAAGGTAATTTAAAAATAAAAGGGTAGAAGTAGCATGAAAGATGGAGATGAAACCAGATTTTGTTGTTTCCTTATGGAATCTTGATCTTATTATTTTAACCAATGTGTTCATATTCTTGTAAATATTCTTTTTCCCCTAGTTACTGAGTTTACGAGATGGTCATAAAAAATAAAATTACAGCAGTCCATGAGCTTTTTTCTATCTAATCTTTATTTTTAATCTATCTGTAGAAAGCTAGGTGAGCTTGGTTATTACCGAAGCGCTAAGAAATGCAAGGAGAAATTCGAGAACGTGTATAAGTACCACAGGAGAACCAAAGAAGGCCGGTCTAAAAAACAAGAAGGAAAAACTTATCGATTTTTCGATGAACTTGAAGCTTTCGATCATCAAAATCATCACCATTCATCAACAATAATACCAGCAAAACCTCAAGTAGTCCTGTGGCCAACCATGAACAATAACCATCCAAACAACCCTAGTCTTGTAGTTCCTCATGTCACCACTACTACTACTCTTCCTCTTTCTTCAACGTCAAGCATCATGACCCCAACAAATGGTTCTCTTCCAAATGGTCCTCAAATTTCACCACCACACATTACAAAATCACCTCTCAATCTCTCTCAGCAAAATATTAATGGTTTCAAGCCAAACTCGGCAACAAACAATCTTTTTTCGAGCTCTACTTCCTCGTCTGCCTCTGATGAAGAGTTTCAAGTTCAACCCCGTGACAAGAGAAAAATGAAGTGGAGGTACTTCTTCAAAAGGATGACCAAGGACGTGCTGGAGAAGCAAGAGAAGCTGCAGGAGAAATTCTTAGAAGCCATAGCGAAGTGCGAGCACCAACGAATGGTGAGAGAAGCAGCTTGGAGGAAGGAAGAGATGGCGAGAATGAGTAAAGAGCACGAAATTTTAGCCCAAGAAAGATCATTAGCAGCGGCACAAGATGCCGCGGTAATTGAATTCTTGCAAAAGTTTTCGGGGCAACAAAACTCAACAAGTATTCAAGCACTCGAGGCACCATCATCACGGCCCCATCCACTGCCAGTACTAATGCCACCACCGCTGCAGGCTCCGGTGGCAGTGGTCACAAGTAGTACTTTTGACGTTCCGAAACTGGATAACAGTGAAAGTCCACTTCCTGCAGGATCTACAAGATGGCCGAGAGTTGAAGTTGAAGCTTTGATAAACTTGAGGACATATCTTGACGTGAAGTACCAAGAAGCCGGGCCTAAAGGGTCTCTTTGGGAGGAGATATCGGCAGGGATGAGGCGGCTCGGATACAATAGGAGTGCAAAGAGGTGCAAAGAAAAGTGGGAGAACATCAACAAGTACTACAAGAAGGTGAAGGTGAGCAGCAAAACGCGGTCTGAGGGTTCAAAAACATGTCCATATTTTCACCAGCTGGACATCTTGCACAGTAAAAAGAACAATAAGAATAATGCTGGTCATGTGGTGAAGCCCAATGCTGAAACAATGCAGCCATTGATCAATGTCCAGCCAGACCAGCCAGCAATTGAAGATATCGAAAGGGAAAACGGGGATCGAAACGAAGACGACGAAGATGGAGAGAGTACAGAGGAAGAAGACCGGAGTGATGACCAGATGGAGACGGTAACCAACTAGAAAGAGTCATCAATGGACATGGTGGATTCATGATATGAGTGGGATAGAATAACTAAGTCTCTGTTTTACTCTTCAGATCCATTTGACGTAAAATGTCAATCCCAAAAACTATCACAACACATGACTGAAAAGGCACATACAAAAAATAAGAAAAAAGGGACAGTGTATTATTTTTCCTCAGGTCCCAACTGATGTCAGTCTAGTAATTAATCATCACGTGGGTTTGCACCAAAATAACGATCCTCTCTAACTAAGTGGATCCGGTTTTAAGGTTGAAAATTTCGAAACCACACACCCAATTAGTTATATATTGTAATACATAAGGTCCTAAAATACTGGATTGTAACTTTAGCGCGGATTTTATTTTTAGTTTTTTTACAAGAAGGTAAAAATTTGGGTCAAGCCACATAATGAATCATTCATGAAAGTTGAACATAAAACCTCCATTTACACACAGGGAGAATACCACTAAACAGTAGTATTAATGGCTGATTTTATTTTAGTAGGATTAGATGGTTCTTTATGCATTATTTACCTCTATCTAATTTTTGCGACACACACACACACACACACACACACATATATATATATATATATATATATCTCAAGAATAAAAGAAGAAGCTATATACATATAGTTTTTGTATTTATTGTTATGTATTTTTGTGTTAATAGGGAGGTGGAGATTCCACAAACCTCAAGGTACATAAACTAAAGAAACCAAAGTTGTATGTTTCCTTGTGTGTTCATGTAAACGGGGGAATTAGTGGAAGGGTTATTTTGTAGTTGATTGGAATAAACAAACTCCACGATCAGACTAAACTACTTATAGACATAGCTAGCTTGGCCTTGCCACTATCACATAAGAATTATGAAAGTGCGAGCACATACTAAGCATTTTTTTATCGGAGGATTTTGATTGGCATTGCAGAAATCAATATTACTCGATTTGGATATATAGTGCGCACATATGAGCTAAAAATGAGGGGGACAGAGCAGTAGCCCTTTCCACTTTGCAGAAGGTGGCTTCTTACAGCATGCCAACATCAGCTAATCCCATTTCATTTGAAGACCCTAGCACCATACAGAAGGAATCTTCAAAGTTCTCATATAAAAATTGTTTTGATTAGTATCAATGTATGTCTCCACACCTTTTGACTTTCTCACTTAACCGTTTCCTTGATTATACACTCATCCCACTCATCATTCAACTTGAAGATGATTCTTCTTAATTAACAAGGGATGGAATCAAGAAACAAAGAAATGAAGAACTCAAAGGACATCAAGGTTAAAACATATAATATCTCAAGAAAATTTTGTTTTTTTTTTCTTGGAACAAACGATATTATCTACACTAAGGGGGAGGGGTAGGCTTAGCCTCACAATAGGCTAGCAATAATGTGATTCAATCTCACATTTGACGAGAATCGAACCTAAGACCTCTCACTTACAAGTGAAGAGAAATACCACTAGACCGTAGTACTTGATGAAATTGAGGTTCCACCATAAAACCAATTGACAATATGAGGAATAGCCAAGACCATATAAGCACATAGCAAACCTTGTCCCTCACCGATGTGGGACAACTCTCAACAGGTTCCACCCAATTGGCAATATATGGAGTAGTCCAAGACCATATAAGCACATAGCAAACCTTATCCCTCACCGATGTGGGACAACTCTCAACACGCCCCCCCGCACGTGTGACCGATTTTCAAGCCTACACGTGGACAACAACTAGGTGACGTGGAGCTCGTGTGGCATTTGGCTTCACACGAGGAAAACCCGCTCTGATACCATGATGAAATTGAGGTTCCACCATAAAACCAATTGGCAATATAGGGAGTAGTCCAAGACCATATAAGCACATAGCAAACCTTGTCCCTCACCGATGTGGGACAACTCTCAACAGTACTAAGTGGCCAAGAAAACTTGGTTTAAATACTACAATTTAGGGATTTATTCTTCACTTGTAAGTGAGAGGCCTTAAATTTGACTCCTTTGGATGGTGAATTCGATATTAAATTATTAAGGCTAGTCGCTTAGCTCATCTCTTACTCTTTAGTGCAAAAATATCTTTGTATTCTCAAAACTTTCATTCATTGAAAGGAAAACGAAATTAGGCAAAAACACATAAATAGGTCTAATTTTTCCTTTTCAATAAAACTAGAGGTACCTGCCGACTACGCCTCCAATGTAAAACGCTTATATTCCTTCGCTAGCGGAAATCGAACGTGTGAACTGCATGCACCAGAACACCAGACCGAAGAGAAATTTTTAATTGTGACGGGAATACAAGTGGTACACTACGTGTTTTAATAGGAGTGGTAGGAAATTTTATTTTTTAAGTTATTAACTTTTTAACACACATATCTCACAATTTGTATAATGACACGTGATGTACTACCTCGTGTACCGGTCATACTGAAAAATCTCTACAGACCGAATATGTTTCCCTCTTGTGCAAGGAGCTAAAGGACTATTATCATTCTGCAAGACTGAGCGCTTCGACTAAAGAAGAAACCAGAGTGCTTCACACTTGGCAAAATAAAAAACAACTTTACCTTATATTTTAAGGGAAAAACCGAACGATTGACAATTCCACGCACAAGAAGAACGAGGTGTTGGGGGACTTAAGAGAGCCCACTAAAGAATGAGAAGATCAAGACATTTTGAGCCCACTAGAGAGGATCAAGACATTGCCACCAACGACTGCTCCTGCTTAGTCGTCAACTCTGAGCCACGTATTGGTGAGCGCAATGCTCGAGTTAAGCGCTTGGCAACCACCGTCGTGTGAGCCCAACGCTCATAGCATATCAACCGAGGAACCAAGCAAGTAGCCCTAGGAAGATATCACTTATTCTTCATATATTAGTCGAACATTGGAGAAGTAGCCCGCACACCCCACCTACTTGTTCCACCCATTTATTGATAAGGTGGTGAGCGACCTCAAAGCCGAAGACTTTTAGGGCTCACTAAGGACCTATATAAAGGGGCCAAGTATTGCTTATAAGTAATCGAATTCATGTTAATAGATTTACATTACATCGTCTTGAGAACTATTATAATCCAAAGCAAACATACATTAGACCGTTCCAGTGAACGTAAAACATTTATAAGGGTGAACCATTTAGTAGTCTCTGATATAGTTTTATATTTTGAACGCATCAAAGATTGGTCATACTGATTTTGTGTTGACCTCCCAGTTTTGAGTTTTAACAGCTTTTTTGAGTTTCAAGCAACACAATCTCTCAATCGTGGCAGCTCTAGGTAAGTTTATGTTCATATGTTTTATTTGATTCAACCATGTGGGTCTAACAAAATATGGATTAGGAAGCAATATCAAAACGAAAATGCACACTAATGATAAATGTTGAGGCTTCGAGTCCATATAAATATCTTTTTATTACACCATAACCCTTAACCTATTATGACACACCCCGTCCTGAAGGAGGGCATTCTAGCCGTCACGTGAGAGTGACGTAACCATTTACACAGTTCGGAAGCTTTAAAGATACAATTACTAAGATGTAACACCCGAGGGTGAGTCTTACTTTTATGAATTCTGTCAAAACACCGTTGGATTCCTTGTGGCCACCAAAGTTCTGCTATCTTGAACCTGGAGGGGCGCAAAACAAAGTTGAGTGGGTCAGTAAAACAAAGTTTTTCAAAAATCATCTCATTATCAAAACGCTAACCCCTCACTGTAAAACCCGTATACTTTCCCAGAAATATGTAATACGTATACTTATCTCAAACCATACTCAGAAGTAGTGATATGTGAATTATATGCCATGCCAAAAATATATATCTCATCAAATCATATAAGTAACTCATGAAAAATAATATGTTAACCAGATCCACCTATAGTGGCCTGTACGGCTGAATCTATAGCTCATAATCAATCTCATCAATCTTATCTAGCCGGAGTCATCGCAAGTGACCTGTACGGCACTACACTGCACACGAGTCGGAACCCCTGAAAAGGTCTGTGCGACTAAACTGGGTGAAATATAGTTATGCTCACGCTATCCTCTCCTGATAGTTATGCGATAAATCGCTAGTCACCTACGAGTCGGAACCACCTCTAATGGTCTGTACGACATGTCGGAACCACCTTTAATGGTCTGTACGACATGCACCTAAATTGGATCCAATTATGAGCATATGGTGCCAGGGTGACCATATATATACATGCCTGAATCATCTCTACTAAATCACGATCACCCTAGTGTAGGTTTATGAGCTTTCAATCATATCAACTCAACAATTACATAATTTAATTTATGAACTTACCTGGCACTTACATGTGCGTCCGCAGCACCAATCATGCATGTATGCAATTACTAATGCATAAATAATTAGGCATATGTTTTGCATGGCATTTCATATCGCATTTCATATCACATTTCACTTAAATTGATTTCCTGGGAAAAATCTCATTTATATAGGTATATACGGAAAACAAAACTGCCCACTCACCTGGAGTTCGCCCTACAACTCCCTAGCACAACACATCAAGACGTCATGACGATCGGCGCCTAGAACAATCATCAAATCAAGCCTCAGAAATCATATCGATAGAATATATAACTTATATAAAACACGTCACTACGTAGTTCGATCCGGAAGATCTGCAACTCAAATTTCCAATCCATAACTTCCAGAGGTCCACAATATATCTCTAGAACAACATCCTAAAATTTCCTTACCATCCAACGGTCGGATCTCCGTCAATTGTCAAAACCAAGTGATGGTTAACATTCTATTTTATGAACTTACAACTCCAATTTCGAAAGATCCGTAAATCGGATTCCCAATCCGTAAGTTCCTATAATCCTCAAATATTACGTATTACAACGTATCAAAGTTTGGTGACGATCCAACGGTCGGATCGTCAATTCACATTTTCACCTAACCACGAATCATAACGAACTTAGGTTCAATTACTCAATTTAAGTCAATCAATTATCAAAACTGAACCTAGAACATTAAACACATGCTAAGAATGATATTGGCGGGCCATTGGCCATGCGCCGCCGCACGGGCCGCCGCCCCGGCTCGCCGGAAAATCCAACTATCTCAAAAAATTACCAAAATTTACAGAAATGAAGATCTCAATGAGTAGAGTAAACTTTATACATAAGGCCAAGGCCAATTTGGCTTGGAAAGGCTCCAATTCCATCAAA